TGCAAGAAGCATGAGATGTAACAGGTGTCTAGCCTTAGCATGACGGTATTTTCCGCTCACATTGCGCCTCGAGGCCTGGACAGATGAAGTAAGCCGCAGGCATCTCAGTTAACTCCTGCCCAGCACATGCAGGGTTTCGAGCGGGAGTCCGCCTTTTGAAGGAAGGCGGACTCCCGCCCAACACCGTCAGTCAGCATTTTTCTGCATAATTCTGTCGGATGAGCCACGAGAAACGCATTCACGCACAAATAGGTTTTGGGCTCGAACATCGCTGGGAGCACGTGGTTTCATCTGAGGAGTAGTCATGACTACGTTTTACGTTGCCCTCCCGCGAGCAGCGTGGCTGCTGCTGTGCAACAAGACGTCCCCCTCGCTTGGTCCCGAAACCATGCTCTATGACAGCCCTGAGGCAGCAGTCAAGGTCCCTCGTCTTGCTTACCGGTGCATCCGTCGGTGTGTGTGTGTGTGTGTGTGCGTGTGCGTCGTCACGTGAGCTAGACCCTGGCCAGGCCTGCTACAGCGTCAGTGCTCGCAAGCTGCGCAACACCATGAGCGGAAGCAGTGATCTGCCTCATGACATGGTGCCCCAGCAGGGCTTGCGTGAGAAGGTCATGAAGCTTCTTGGCGTTCTTCTGGTTGGCTCTTTAGACTTTAACTTTTTGGGTTTCTATAGGAACTATATTATCTAGGCTAAAAGTTTAACTTTTAGGAGGGGTTCAGAAGTACGCCAAGGCTTGGTTGTGCCATTTTGAAGCTGGAGCTCGTGCAGAACTTCATGGTTGCAGCCCCGTCCTGCTTCCGGATCCGAGATGGCGGGCTGGTCTGTGTGTGCACGTTGAACCTTGTTCAGGACCAGGCCGGAAAAGAGGGAATTGTGCTCAAAGTGCCTCAGTCACTGGTTTCCTGTATGTACTTGTGCTAGAAAAATTGCAGGTGAGCAGGAAGACGCTTGGACTTCGGAGCCAGATCTTCCAGACTGCGGCCGTGGGCAACACTGACTTAGTGACCGACGTGAAGGGCTTCAAGCAGATCAAAGGCCGCCGGGCTGCAGCATCAGAAGATCAGACTGGCACCACTGTGGTGCCAGTCTACATCCTCCTTAAAGGTGAAGCCGCTGCTCGCAACATGGGCTGTCGGGGAACGGATTGGCACAACCTCTTCAACTGCGAGCACAACAGCGAGTTCCTAGAGAACCAGTTTCAGGCTCTGAGGAAGAACGCCCCTGAGCCTTACCCCGAGCACTTCTTGCCGCTGTTCTGGTCCCCAGACATTCCAGCCCAGCTTCGTTTCTTTCAACGCGACCTGCCCGCGGATGGGAACTGTTGGCTCCTCATGATAAAGTGTGAGGTGTCAGCTTTCATGAAAGATGGCATCAACATGATTGCCGTCCAGCAACTCTATCCGCACAGTCAGCTGCACGGCACAGAGGCCGTCATTGCAAAGCAGCTGAAACTAGGCTTTCGTTTGGAAGTTATAATGAGTTTGCAAGCTAGACTTAACCTTCCAGAGTTTTTTGGTGGCGGGCTCTCGCGCAGCGAAGGGCATGTTTGGCAAATCGTGCTGCAGAAGTCTCGGTGGTTACTGCCAAGATTGAGCTTGCAGAGATTTCCTACGAGGGGGTCGATGTGTGCTTGAGGCCTACTTGTGACTGACTAACCACAATTACATGTTCACGAAAAGACGAAAGTAGCCCTTTCCATTATTGCGATGAGTGCAGGAAGAGGAAGCTGGCCGAGGACATGGAGTACCACAAACGCATGGCTGAAGAGCATGCTGAAAAATTCAAGAGGTGCAAGCGTCAATGGGACGCCATCTTCGAGGAGGCTGGACAGTAAAGCGTGATTTGGCCGCCCGCCTGGCAGATTCGAAGCAAAAACAAGCTTTTCTGCTGCCATTCCGCATCTGTTTGCTGGTTGCCATGTCTTGCTTGAAAGAACTAGCAATCGGCGAAGGTCAGCTTGCGTTGCCTGTGATTTTGGCTTGCGTGTGTTTCTCAAAGGGATAGAAACCTGGATTCGGCCTTGGACGGCAGACCTCTGTTTGCACATGGCACCCGAAGATGAAATGAAGCTTGGCTGAGACCAGAAAGCTGTGGCAAGCACGCTGCTTCTTCCTGACTCTTACTCAGGTCTTGCTCAGAGGAAGAGGGGATTATCCCTGATGACCCTGACGAAGACCACATGAGCACAGTCTCGTCGCTGGAGCCTGAGGATGGAGGCTGGGAGGTGGAAAGCCGGAAACCAATGGCTAGGACTGACTAGACTCTTAGACCTGAGCACTTAGCATGTGTCAAAGGACACCGGAGGTTGTCGATGTGGATGCGGAGTCGATGTCGGTGGACCAGCAAATGCATCTGTTCTGCAAGCAGCTCACACGCTAGAGTGAAAGGTGCTACATATTCGTGGTGTTGGAGGCCAGCGTGGCCTCAGCCGAAGGATTTGTTGGACATGGCGAAGTGGCCGGCAAAGTTGCTGGATCAAGCATGCGCCTGGATGGGTGCAGGTGTTGTCCAAGAGCGGCTGCGACGCTTCAGCTACGATAGTCGTCACACTCGTCACTGTTGTTGCTCCTTAGCCTTCTGTTTTTTGGTTCTGTCCTTGTCTCTTGTCTCCCTCTCTCTTCTCTCTCCCTTCCTGCTTCCTCTCTCTCTTTGTCTCTCTTTCTCGCTCTCTCTCTCTCTTTCTCTCTCTCTCTCTCTCTCTCTCTCTCTTCTCTCTCTCTCTCCATCTTTAACTCTCAAGGGATCCCTGCTCTAAGGAAGGGTGCAGTGGAACGTGCTTTCTCTCTTCTCCGGCATTGAGTGTGCATACGAAGCCATTCTGATGCTGGACGCGGAGACACGCTCTAGATGGGGGTTCGGTCTTGGCATCCGGCACGGCTTGATGGTGCCTCTTGTCGGAAAGCATCTGTGTTAAAGTTAATGGTCTCCAGACAGTTTCTGTAACTGCCATGCAGGTGGAGAAGAACAAGATGTGTACCCGGCTCTTAAGGAGGCACTTTCCAAGTACCTGCCTGGCAACCGACATGTACAAGCTGCTGCAAGAGATTCCAGAATCCTCAGAATGGGATTTGCAAAAGCTGCTGCTGGCGCCCACCATCCCTTGCGTTGCACATGAGAAAGAGCCCATGGATGAAATTGGTAGTCTGTTGGTTAAGATTTAGGAGCACAATGCAGCACGGCCCGGCCCATTTTTTAGCTAGCAGGTGCTGCATTTGTTTCCGTGATGAGAAGAACGTTGCACTTCTCGGAGCGCCCTGCATAGCTTTTTCCAAGCATCTTGACTTGTCAGTTTACCGGAAGGTCTTGCAGTCCACGAAAGGAACCGCACAACAAGTTAAATGGACGAAGCCAAGGATGGGAAAGAGAGCTGGGTTCGCGAATGAAGCGACCAAAGAGCTTCACGACATAGGCACCAGAGTCATGAAGGAAGTTGGGCTCTCGATCCACGAGAACGTTGTGCAGTTCTCCGAGGATGTTTTAGCATTCATTGTGCAGCGCCTTTGTGCTGAGTTTGCATGGTTTCTCGGCTCTTGCCGTTTGTAGCCCTCAGGATGCCTACCTGGAGAAAGAGGCAGGCGTTCGTATTCAGCATGCACAGCAGCTTTCCGGCACATGGGGAAAGTTCAGCAGCTTGATATGTGACTTTAACTCGTCTCTTTTCTTTGAACGAGTACTAGGCTGAGTCCAGACATGTTCGGGGAGCCAGCTTCGCGCCCCAGATCATGGAGAATATGCTACAAAGCAGATCGATATGTGTGGAAAGGCCCGAGCTTCCAGGAATTGGTGCAGCTGTGGCTTCTACCAGCCGGCACGCCTCTCTATTTGAGTCCTTCTGTGTACATGGTGTTGCCCCACAGCCAGCTGCTCTCCGAGACCATGTGCTGGTCAAAACAGTCCTTCCTGGAATCCTACAGAGAGCTCGCTCCACAGCAAAAGTTCTATGACTTGGGCAGCAATCCAGAGCACACAAAGAGGACTGAGAGCAAGAAGAACCGCTTGATGACGCTGACCACCAATACACATATCTGGCAGCTTTTCTGCACTTCGGCCACAGCCTGCACCGTTAGCAATAACAGGACAGAAACACGTCGCTTTTAGGTCCGAGGAGAGCAGAAGGATGTTCCATGGTCGAGAGCTTCTGTTATCTCTGGGGTATCCCTGCTACGTGCCCCAGGCGAATGCTGCTGGCACGGACTCTTGGCAGGCAGAAAAATGAGGCAGCATCAACCGTGAAGGACAGAAAAACACATGGTTCACAAACACAGTGTATGCTGGCAACCATACGAGGACTTCCGAGACATGGAGGGCTTCACGCAAGCAAGCTTGAGGCGAGCAGCTGGCAACGGCATGCATCTTCCATGCGCTGGGTGCACGGTGCTCATGGCCATGCTGTTCGTGCAGCCCAATGCCAAGTAGCTCCTTTCTTGAACTATCTCATGTCGCTGATCGAAGAAAGCGTGGCAGGGGATGTTTGCCAGCGTGAAAAACAGAAATCTACTTCATATTTTGGTGTTTGGCGTGATACCGCTTGTGCGCAGGGTATGGCCACGTTCGTTTGAGCAGCTGCTGACTCCATGTTCGAATCCTTCCGGCTATCTTCAAGGGAAGCAGGCACATGATTTTAGCCATGGGCTTTGGTAGTGTATAACGCAGATACAACCTGCGTAGTTAGGGAACAGCGGCTCGATCAGTCAGCTAAAGTCCAAGTCAATGTCGTGCCAATGCCCCCTTTCCAAGATGAGGGGGAGCCCATTGTTGTGGAAACTGTTCCAGCTCGCGCGTGTCCGAAAAAGAGATTCACAAAGCCAAGACCTTTCGCTCCAGAGCTTGAGTGCAACGCTGGCCCTGCAAAGCCGCGGAAGATGATCCTTTCATCTGAGCCTGCTGCTGGTTCCACCACAAACAAGCAACAGAAGATTACAGAATCAGATCCGAGTCGGCAAGTTCGCAAGCCTTTCGCTGCCGAGCCTGAGGAGAAGTCCAGTGGTTCTGTGCGAAAAAGTTTCGACACAGAAGGCGGTGACGAGGAGTCGTCCACTGGCACCGATGAGGAGATCCCTACACCTGCATTGTTGGACTGGTCCGTGCTGCAAAAGTTTCAGGCTGCAGCGTTTACCAGAACAGCCCAGGAGAAATTGAAGGTGGAAAGAAAGAAACGTGGATACAACAACGAAAAACGGGCAGCTGCAGCTGCGGCCAAACCAACTGCAGACTCGAAAAGCTTCCGAGAACGCGGGCTGTGCGAGAAGCGGTTTGCAAGCTGGTTCAACGCACATCCATGCAAGTGCTTCTCAACAGCAATAGGTTGTCTTGTATTAAAGCCCAGTCATTCTAAGTGTAGCTGAACACAGAATTTCTTATAGACCTCGATGCGAGGCAGTCGCAAGACCTGCTTTCAGAAGTACAAGAAAGGCGACATCACAAAATTCCTGGAGCAGTTTTGGAACATGGAAAAGAGAGATCAGGATGGTTTCGTGTCCTGGCTAGAGATGGTCATAGAGAGTTTGTGTGTGCCACGACCCGTGTTGCTTTTCATGTGGAGCCGAGTTACAGATGGCTTTCCTGAACAGCACATCCAGTTGCGAGCTCTTGAGCAAAGAGGTGAGTCTCAAATGTTTTCGCACTATGATGGGCGTTGGCCAGGGACGTGTTGAACGTGCCAAAGTCACAAGGCCTGACTTGCGCTTCGGCAAAGACAAAACTGGTTCGAGGCGAACTTCCGCGTCAGTTGACGCCTTCCTCCAGATACTGTATGACTCCGTTGCAGAGACGTTGCCTCATCAGCCACGTGGTGCATAGAGTTTTTGCAACATTTCCTGGCGATGCGCAGGTAGACAGTTTGACCATGTCCCAACCCAGGTTTGTACGGAGAGGACGGGCTGCAGATCCGGAGGAGCCTGAGTATGACTTGGCCTCCGACGTTGAGTCGGGAGAGCTTGGGGAATGGTTGGATCGCTCTTCGCTCACTGATCCACTGGGGCGGGGTGGCAGAGTGCGGAAATTTCTTGCTCCAGGCACAGTAATGGACATTTACAACCATTATCAGGCAACCAGGGTTCATTTGGGAGCGCCGTCGGTGTCGCGCCTAGGCTGCAAGTGTTAGTCCCGGAGGTTGGCTTGCTTGCATCATTTCCGATGACTTATAACCAAGGTATAAGACGTTCAAAGCCATCTATGATGCACGCTGGTATAGCATTCTGCGTTTTCGTGAGCCCAGCATGCTTCTTTGGCAGGAATGGCAGTCGTTGTACAGTAATCACGGAAGAAGTCATGTGTTCCTTTCTCTCAGGTTCACCAGATGCGAGATCTGTTCTTTGTACACCAGAGAATTGAGCAATCCCAAGATGAGCATCGAGCTAAAGCTGCAGAGCTTGGCTGGTTACAGAGATCACCTGGCATCTCAATTCAAAGACAGAATGGCAAATTGGACTCTGCAAGAATTGAGCCGGGATCACCTGGCAGACATTCTATGCATACAACTGGACGGGATGGATCAGGGCAAGTATGCCCTCCCCCGGGACCCCGAGCTACGGACTTCAGCAGCAATGACCCGTGTCCATCAGCAGCTACATGCTATTTCGGCGGCTCTCATGAATCGTTTCTTATTTGAACTTCTTGGCAGCCAAGGAGCAGCGTATACCGTCCCAGGATAAAGCTTCACGGTGTTTGGTGCTTCGGCTCCTGGCCGAAAGAAAAGATGCACACGCAGAGTGATAGAAGCAACGAAAGTGCGAGGCAGGAGGAGCGAGAGGGAGAGAGAGGAGGGAGAGAGAGAGAGAAAAGGAAACACGGAAAGCATTAGAGCAGATCGAGGAAGTGTTTTAGACATTCTGCTAAGTTAAGGCTACACACTCCAGTTGTTCTTGCTGGACGAGCCGACAAAGCACGACTCAAACTGCATCCAGGAATGTCTGGCCCGGACACTGGAACGAGTGTCGCAGCTATGCGAGGAGAAGGGAGAGCAGATGCCACGGAATCTGAGCGTGTGGGCAACCTGGTGGCAACGTGAGAGTGAATAGCGGCGGCAGAGCTGCGTGTCATCAACTTCTGCATGTCATACTTAGGGCGACAACACGGTACGGGAGCTGAAGAACCAGCACCTCTTAAAATATTTCAGCTTTCTCGTCGCCAAGACAAAGTTCAGATCCACGGCGCATCTCACGTGCAAGAAGACATTTGGCAGTGGACAGTTGCCGGAACACGCAATGTTGAGTTGGTAAGTATTAAGGATGTGTAACCTTCGCAAATCCCACTCGCATGACCGCATCGACCAGCTTTGGGGAATATTTGCGAGGCGTGTCCAACTCTGTCAGCACTTACAAACGCCGGAGGACATCCTGGAATGTTTGCTGGACGAGGTGAGGAAACCATCGCTCCAGGCGGCTGGGCTGCTGCTACTACTACTACGACGA